CAATGATGGTGCCAACTTGGGCCAGTGAAGCAACATCCTCCACAACTAGACTGAAGAACAAAAGGACAGCAACTTGTCTGTTCCTCTTCCCCCAATTTCCCAGCGCTGTTCCCATCCTCCAATTCCTCAATAAAAATCTTTTAAAATAAATAAATAAATAAATAAATAAAAATAAAACAAACAAAGAAACAAACAAAAAGATCAACCAATTCTTTAGACCAGGTGCCAAAGAGGTCCTAGATACATTCCCATAATCAAGGTGAAGTTTTATCCCCCTTTTCTTAAAAAGTCCCCCTTCAAGTGTCTTCCCTCTTCAATTTTATTTATTTTATCTAAAAATCCTTTCTTGTAACTCTTAAGTATCATTTAATGAATTTTAGTCTCATTTTCCTTTAAAACTGTTTTTTCTCTTTAAATCATCTTCTATTGTGTCAGCAACAATCCTCTTTAATAAGGATAAAATTATTCATTAGTATCATTTCTCATTAGTTTTAAATACCATATTCACAATGGTATTCATTATAGTATTTCTAGACCATTGTTCACAAATGTTCTGTGTCATATTATACTCAGGATGCTTGATACTGTATTAGCAGAAACCTGATACAAGTTACTATAAGAAATGAAAGGATGTATTATGAAAGAAATATGAATACTTGGAATATTCAATATGGTTATATTCTGGCCCATTTCTTATCTCGTGTTAGTTTGTTTGGGGTGATGAGGTGTTCTTGTTTTTCTACTTATGATAGCTATCCATGATGATGCAGCTGTAATTTAACTGAGATACTTGACACTTGTGGTTGCAGTGTTGAGACACCTCTTTGAAAATACTCTACCGATATGCATCAGGAATCATAAAAATATTCACAGTTTGATCTAGGAAGTAGAACAAAATTAAAAAAAAAAAGTAAAAAAAAGGCAAGAAAATCTGAGGACCAATATATGAGGTTTAGAATTCAAATAAAACAAACCTCAAAAGGAGAAAATATACACAGGGTGCCAAAAAATATATATACACATTTTAAGAAAGGAAAAAAACATTAAAATCGTAATACTCAATATATACCAATAAGAAAAGATGAATATAAGTCACATTTGACTTCTGCAATTATAAGAGGTGCTCAAAGTAGTTACTACACACTTCTGATGATGGCTAACTACTGCTTTAGCAACACTGCCCAAAGGTCCACTTGTGTACATTTTTTTTTTGTACCCTTGGTATGTGGCGAAAACTATCAAATAACACAAGGAAATTTCCCAGGACTAAAAGATATCTCAACTCTGAAAAAGTTGAGTGAATGCAAAAGACCCATGCCAAGTAACATCATCTTAAAATTTGTAAACACTATGAAAAGGTTCTTCAAGTTCCAGATTTCCACAAAAACATCACACACTGAAGGAAAAAAAAAAATAATCAGAATGCCATCAGATTCCTCATAGTAATATTGATGCTAGAAGACCAGAAGACAATCCCTAAAGAATCCTGAGTAAAACCATGTTCAAACTAGGGCTATTTATCCAGCCAAACTAGCAATCAAGTATGGAAGGAGAATAAAGACATTTTCAGACTTGCAAAGACTTAAAGAAAAAAATAAAAGTACTTCCTATGCACTCTTTATTAGGAAGCTGCTAAAGAATGTACCTAGCTAAATAAAAGTAAACCAACAGACAAGACAGATTCTGGAAACAGAGGCTCCCAGCGTCCAAGGACTGAAAGAACCATCAGGACAATAGCTGTACATCAGTCTTAGAGAGCAAAGATGATAGAGGGCTTCAAGGGGAAGATCTCCAAGGGAAAAAAAAGACTATGTAAGGAGCATTTTGAAAAACATTACTAGGCATTTAACAAATATGTTGGAAGATTTGAAAAAATCAGTTCATACAAAAGTAAGGAATTAAATGAAGTTATTTTGTTAAGCTTTAGATGAACTCAGTTTGAGGTGTCCATGGAGAATTCAGAACAAAGACCCAGCAAGCAACTTAAAACACCAATCTGGAGTTCATAAGAAAACTGTAGGCCAGAAATATAGTTCTGAAAGTCAGCAGGATACAAACTCTTTAACACGTCTCTCCATTATTCATATTCTAGAATCCCCCCAAATATTACCAAATACAAGTGCAAAGTGACCCAAAATATATATATTTTTTTTTAGATTTTCCTTTAATTGGGGAATTGGGGGAAGGGGAACAGACAAGTTGCTGTCCTTTTGTTCTTCAGTCTAGTTGTGGAGGACGTCGCTTCACTAGCCCATGTTGGTATTGTGATCATTGTGCTCTTCCCAGGTGAGGAAGACTGGTCATCGGCCACTGGACAGCCGCTGACGACGGCTGCTTATGGCAGCCCACTGCAGCTCCCCTGCAGCCTATGCCATCGCAGGCGACTTATGGCAGCCCAGCTCCAGGTGGAGCTGTTGTTCACTATCCTAGCTGTAGAGGGCGCAGCGTCGCTGGCCCTAATGTGGGATCTGAACCCGGACCCTGAGGCTCAGAGCTGGCGTCCCAAGCCAACTCTTAATCAACGTACCACTCGGCCGGCCCCCAAAATATTTCTTTTAAATCACATCAACTTCCCTACTGATATGAAAAACTAAAGAAAGAAGACATACAAGTACACAAAATTTTCTTCTACAAATTTCAGTGAACAAAACTTCCTACCAGACAGTATTTTTAAAGCTCTAAGCAAAAAAGTCTATTTAAAAACAAAACAAAATAATCCCTGGGTCTACTTTCAAGAAATGTTTGTGAGATTAGACACAGCTACATCTGTTTCCATCATTTTGACAGGCATTGGCTTAAATTAATGAAGTTAACTACAAGGCTCAAGAAAATTCTAAAAATGACCCATCTGGATTACTATGTATGCTTGACTCTGCTGAAATCACAGAAAATTTATAACCTTTCTACCGAGTAGGAGAAAACATCAGTAACACGAAACAGAAAGCAGAAAATGATCCAACCCTCTCATTTTATAGATGAGGAAACTAAAGCCAAGAAACTAGTAACTTCTTAAAGCAAAGTTTGTTCCTGAGGCATCATTATCCTAACACCAATCATCTCTTTTCTGTTAGTTGAAAGTTTCCTGGAAACAACCTGTCATTTTGGATATTTTTCCTGGGATAGCGCAATGATGTTGACCTTGAATGTATCACCATTTGTAAATGCTATTTCTCTGGGGGGGGGGGGGGTTGTGTGTTAAAATATGCAATTTTATTAAGCCCTGGGTCAACTAAATTTGACTTTATAAAATGCTTGTTTTAGACTGTATTTCACATTCCAACTTTCCATTCCTTCAGCCTCCTTTTCACTACGATTTTTTATGAAAGGAGCATTATCTAACTTGTCTTGGATAAATGAGAATAGGAGCGATTCACAAGTGCCCCTCTGTCTTCAGTTTTATGCCTGAGAGAGAGACTGCAGGTAGAGTCTGTGTCACAATCGGCATACTTCTCCGTGAGGCAGGTAGTAATTCACCACTAGACCAACTAAAACGTGGTCCAAACATCGTGTAGACTCCACTGCACCTCGGAGTGGTGAGGCGGAGTGGGTAGCAGGCAGCTGGGAGGAGACTTTGCTGAAGACCTAACTATGAAAATAACAAGTTCATAATACGTTCAGCTCCACTGTACACTACTGTATACCATATAATATTAAGGTATAATATATAATATTATGGTATAATATATAATATAATATTCATTGATTCTTTCCTCTGTAGCTTGTGTTTAAAGATTACAGTTACCAAGTAGAAGAAAAATCTAAATTTTAACCTATGGCACCAGAAAGTTAGTCAGTTTTCTTTTTCAAAGTGTCAGCAGGGGGGTGCTCAACACTGCTGCTTTTGGAAATAGTTTAACTTAAGCCCTTCTCTCATCCAAGCCGTTCCTTTCCACCAACAGTTCCTGGCAATGAAGACTGGGAAGAAGCCACAATCACAGTTCACACGTCTACCAAGGAGCTTGTCCAAGCTGGGAGGATGTCTCCAAACAGTTCTAGTCCGGGCGCGGCCCCCTTTTTGACAAGCGACGGAGAATCGGTTTTCACAAACACACACCACCCACGACAAGGTAGGAAGGGACCGGGGTGCGGCCAACACTAACGTGGGTGTCTGGGAACATACAACAGAGAATGCAGCTACGAGCCGTCCACGAACAGCCGCACCAAGTACAGCAGAATGTAAGGGACGACGCCTTTCACCCCCTCAAAACCCCGCCGGGAGACCACTTCCGCGCAGGCGCGCTGCGGAAGCGGACCGGCGAGGTCGGGAGGGGATGAAAGTAAAACCATCCCGGCCCGTCTTCCGCATCCCTTCCCAGGGCTCCCTGCCCCCATTGTGTCGTCTCCCCGCTCAGCGGACGCCAGGCCAGGGCTTTAGGAACCACCCAAGATGAGTGTCAGAAATAAGACATCATCTCAGTCCCGACCATTGACCATCAAGAAAAGGTTCCACCTCTGCAGAAGAGTTGAGAATAGGCTTTTCTCAAACAGCAGACCCACCTCTTTTGAGTCTTCTCCGCCATGATTTGGTCCGGGTCTCCAATTGGAGCCGAGATCGACACTATCGCTTGGGTGAAGCGATGATCTCTACAAGCGATTGGAGAGCCTGGCTGGATTGGAAGAGGGTGGAGCCAGGGTGAGGGCCAGCCCGCGGGGGCGGGACCGGCGAGGGCTCGCTGCTCCTCCTCTACTAGCGTGAGCGTTGTTTTGCGAGGCGGAGCGAGGTGCGTGGCTGCAGCTGGTTTTAGCGCAGTCCAGGGACTGATAGGTTCGGATTTAATTCAGCCGTTTAGTCCAATCCAATGCACATCATTATGACTTCATTATGCCACACCGTTTATTTTCACTCTTCTTTCCGGTCTCTATCCCTTAAGCTTCCTTTTAGGCCCTGGGCCCACCCATTTCCTGTTCAGTGAGCTTGTCTCATCTATTTCTTGATGAGCTCATCGGTCCCATAATTTAAGTACCTTTACCTGCTGGCTTTCTCAGGTTAATATATCTAGTTCTCTCCTCTTTGCTGAGCTTCATACCTGATTATTCGATTGCTTACTGCCTCAAAATCTTATCATACCTAAAACGGTCAGAACGGAGCTTTTGATTTCCACCCTCACCCTCTCTCCAACCAGTTGGTCCTTTGATCTCCAGCTCAGTAAAGAAATCCACCGTTCACCAAATTGCTCAAGCCAGGAACTCGAGTCATCCTAGGCCAGCGGTTCTCAACCTTCCTAATGCCGCGACCCCTTAATACAGTTCCTCATGTTGTGGTGACCCCCAACCATAAAATTATTTTCGTTGCTACTCTATAACTGTAACTTTGCTACTGTTATGAATCGTAATGTAAATATCTTTTTGTTTTCCGATGGCCTTAGGCGACCCCTGTGAAAGGGTCGTTGGACCCCCAAAGGGGTCGTAACCCTCAGGTTGAGAACTGCTGTCCTAGGCACTCCTCACCTCTCTCCATATGCCATTGACGGGCAAGTTCTTCTGGTCCTACATCTGGAATCTCATTCTCCCACTTCACATCAATTACCACCTCTCTAATCTCAGCAGCTCTCTCTCCCCTATTGTATGCTTCTTCCACCTTTGACTTCTGAAGTCACACCCCCATCCCCGCCCCCCCATCCAAAACTAGCTAAAATCCTTTAAAAATCAAATATATATATATATGTATACATATATATTGCAATAACTAATACCAGATCTAATGATGAAAAATAAAAACCAAATCCCATTTGGTTCTTACTTTCTATTCCTTTTAAAATACAAATTCCTGTCAATAACCTATCTCTGGGATAGATCCAGCCCCTGCCTACTTCTCTCATCTTTAATTTCATATTTTGTTTCCTCTTTCTCTAATCACGCTTTCATTCTCTAAGAAGCCAAAGTGACTCTCCTCCCCAAACAACTTCCACCTGTCCCATGCCCACCCCCCTTTGACACTTTAATTCTCACATGTCACATCATACTCAGTGTGTCAGTTTTTTCATTACATTTGGTGTCAGTGAAGTGGGATTTGCTAGAAAGGCACTGGCTCATAGAAACTTGTGGTTTGGGAAGAGAAAGGATAAAAGGGTGGGAAATGAGGAACCTGTGATCCCAGGATGGCTACCTAGTCACCCATGGTATGAAACTGAAACTGCAGCTACACTATGATCAGTGACTCAAGGTAAAAGTAACCAATGGAATTTAAAGATGGGGGTAAACCCGACTCTTGAGGAGTTGCTCATTGGAAATGTAAGGACATGCAAATAATAAAGAGCATGCTAATAACCAATCTTTTGATTCTTATTAGTAATAGCTAAAATAAAAGAAAGCTGTGGATCTGACCTTGATGCTAAACCAAGCTCAGATTTAGATGGATCTGAGCATTGGCCACTACCCTCAAAGCTGCCCACAAAGGGAAAAATTAGAAAGTACCTCTAAAGCCTCTGGTTACCAAGAAGATAGTCAATGCGAGGGGTAAGGCTGAAAGGTCCATGCTTCTAATCATGGCTTGGTCTTTCTGGTGACCAGCCCCCATCTAGGGGCCCTCCAGGAGCCCATCCAGAGTGGCCTCATTAGAAGAGAAGATGCTCCTAGTGCTCTTATTATTTAGGAATTTACAAGAGTTTTAGGAACTCTGTGTCAGGAACTGGGAGCAGAGACCGAGATTATATATATATATATTCTGTTATCTCACAGGATGAATTTAGAACATTCTGTTGTCCTGAAGCATTTAAATACCTATTCATTTTCAAGCAATGTCTGTCTAAATTAATTTAAAAGACTTCCATGGCATGAGTATTAGTCAGGGTTCTCCAGAGAAGCAGAACCAATTGATACACACACACACACATACACACACTGGGTAGGGCTGGCAAGTCTGAAATTTGTAGAAGTAGACCTCAGGCTAGAAATTCAGGGAAGAGTTGATGTTGCAGTCTCAAGTCCAAAATCCTCAGGCTAAAAACTCAGACAGGGTTTTTATGTTACAATTTTGAGGCAGAATTGCTTCTTTGGGAAACCTGTATTTGCTCTGAAGGCTTTCAAGTGATGGATGAGGCCCACCCACATTTTGGATGGTAATCTGTTTTACTCAAAGTCTTCTGATTTAAATGTTAATCTCATCTAAAAACAAACAAACAAAAAACACCTTCATAGCTACATCTAGACTGATGTTTGACCAAACAACTGGGCATTATAACATAACTGAGTTTATACAAAATTAACCATCACAGCATGTGTATAAGAAGGACCATTTTATCAACATTAGGTACAGTGTCTAGGGCCTATAAGCTTTTCAGGAATCTACTGTTAGGTCTCTGAATGTTAGAGACTTGACTTAATGTTAGGTCTCTGAATGTTAGTTCTCAGAGACCTTGACTTACAGACAGAGCCATGTCTGCAAGAAAACAACAACATGTCTACTGGCCTGCACCTGCAGACAGAGCCAAATATGCGATAACAGAAAACAAAACAGCTACTGGCTTACAGGCAATCAGCATTTTCTCTTTAAACAATGCTACCCTGTCAGCACAGCCCCTACAAAACCCTTCTCACCCCCTTCCTCGGGGCTGTACGTCTCCTTTAGACATGCAGCCCAGGCTGTAGCCATCTTTGCTCAGCCCGATGGACATTCTCTTAATAAAATAGACTTTCTTAAACTTTCTTAACTTGCCTGACAATGTGCGTTCCTTTACCAGCCGACCTATCATCTACAAAATGTTTGAGACCTGAAAATAAAATGTACTGATTTCAAAAAGCAAAAAAAAGTACACATAGGAATAATAGATACTTAATGCGATGACAAAAGAACAACTTTTTTCCTAACAAATTAACTGTAAGTCAATTCTTCTGTACCTAGCAATTATCTTTAATGCGGGATGTGGATGCATTTTAATACGTTTAATATGATGTGAGCTTACTGCTTAGGGAGCCCTCTCCTTCCCATTAATTGTTTTACTGTCTATCTTTGTGCCATCTGTGGCCTGAAATAAGCTATCCATCTGTTTGGAAACAGCCAATTTAAGTATTTTCACTTCTCTACTTCTCTTGCTTTTTAAAAATCCCCTATCTCTGCCAATGATTGCTTATTTATTTTTCACTACAGTATACCCATGGCATACTGCACTTATCGTTCTTTTTTTTAAATTATTATTATTTTTTTTTAGCTGAGCCATCCTGCCACCTTTTGGCAGCTCAGCAGCAGCTCAGCTCTGGCTGGGAATCCAACCGGCGACCCTGTTGCTCACAGTTCACACTCTTGAGCGAGCTCTTAACCAACTGAGCCTGCACCTATCGTTCTTTAATGAAATTATTTGTTGCCATTTCCATCTCCCTAGTAGATTGAGAGCTACTTGAGGGCAGGAGCCTTGTCTTATTCAGTTTTATATTCCTACTGTTTAGCACAGATCTCTCACTAAGAGGTGGTCCTCGTCCTTAAAATGCTTTTGTATCAGGCTATATTCTCCCATCCTTTATTTAAGGCTGCTTGCTCTTGCATGGTACCTTAGAGATGAAAAATGGCTAGTCAGGGACAGTGCTGCAGTGCACCGAGCTCAGTAGAGGGACTCTGCTAGCCAAGAGATGGCCCGTTGTTCTCATCTTGCCTCTAGACATGTCTTCTGTATTTCTGCCCTCACCGCAGAGAAGCTTCTCTTTAAGTGTTTCCTCACCACACTTTGCTTCCTTAAAATCTTTTTAACTTTAACAAGTATTTACTGAGTACGTAGTATGTCCCCAGCACTGTTCTATGTGCTGGGGATACAGCAATAAACAAAACAAAGTCCCTCCCTTGTAGAGCTGACATAGTGGCAGGGGGACGGGCAATAAACTAATCAAGAAATAGATTTATGAGGGCACTATTTAAAAAAAGAAGAAATTGCATAAGGAGAACAGTGGAGGTTGGAGGCGGGTATCATCTTACTCTGAGAATCCACCTCCCTTCCTCATGCTCATGTTCTCATTTCTCCTCCCCAGGCTGCAGAATTGTCTGTCCACAACTGGAAAATGAGATTTTTCATTAACTTAGTGAAGAAAATATGACAGCTAGATGGCTGGAAAGGCAAATACTGTGGTTTTGTAAACTAAACAAAACCAGACCTTCTGAAAGTGTTTTTAGTACATATTATTATTAAGTAACATAACCCCAAATGCGTTTTGGTTTCTATAGTGCAGTTCTCTTTATCAGAATGTCAACTTTTGTGCTGCTATCGCCAGTTGTTTTGTTTGCCTTTTGCTCACCCGGGCCTCCTGAACCATATAAAAAGATCAAAGAGGGCCTGGTTGAGGTTTCTGTTGCAGGAAGGCACCAGTTAAGGACTCTGGAAAGGACAGTATCTTTTGTTCCAGTTCATAATGGGTTGGCTTCAGCTATTTTTCCTCCATCCTGTCTCACTTTATCAAGGAGCTGCTTTTCCTTTTGCACTCCTGTTTAATTATCTCTGCAATATGGATTCATTTCCCACTCATGCCAGGTAGGTGTAATGGCTAATTTTGCTCTTACATCTATGAATACTATAGTAGGTCAAAAAGCACAGATTGGAGTGCAGATGTGAAGACTAAATATTAATTACACTGGTTGTTTTTTAAGTTATCACTGCCACGGATTATTGATTACTTGATCATGAAGTAAAACTGAAATGGAAATTGACATCATGTCTGCATTGACTCAGCCAAAGTTTAAGAGGTTCACATGAAATGGGAAAAAATGAAACTGCGGAGATGAATGCTGAGTTGGTACAGGAATGTCCCAAACAGATGCATCTATACAACTGCATGCCCTAGATATTCTTGCATAGTCTTAATTTCATGGAATTCTATTATTTTCAATAAAATGAAAATTTATTAAATATACAACTAAATGTGATTTTTAAAATGAATATTTTTAGAGAAATGAAATAAGTAAAAAAAAAAGTTTTGTTAGATTAGCTGTACCTCAATCTGGGGTTCAAAAATTGTCACTAGATACTTGGTAACTTGTTTGAAATGATTTTTTTATAGCTAATAAACTCAGTACATTAAAGACAGTTCCTATTTTTTTAAAGTTTTGTGGAATATCCTTTCGTAAAGTGAAAATCCATTGCCAAAGGGCTACCTCCTAATAATTCACTTATTTTGGAAATTAGGATATTTATATATGGGGGGGGGGGGGTTGTTAAGTAAAATTTAGCTGTGTCTAGCAATTAGTTAGGATGGCCGACTTTGATTAAACTATGTAGCGTTATTACATGTTCACAACTGGTTGCCAGCCCCTACCTTCATTTAGGAGATGGGGGAGACAGTTGTAAAAAAATTTTCTTTTGAGAAAGGATCACAAACAATAAAGCAAAACAAGTACAAAATAAGAGTTAATTTCCATAGGGTTAAGATTGCTGGCTTTGGAGTCAGCCAGGTGCATCCTGGCCCCTCACTTCCTAAGTGTCCTTTATGAATAAACTCTGTTGGGTTTACATGTAAAATGGAAATAATAACACCTAATTCATGGGGTTATTTTAAGGATTAAAGAAAGATATTTCTTATAAAGGGATTATTAGCACAATGTCTAGAATAAAATAAGCACTCAAAAAAATCATTCATCCTGCATTGTACATGTATAGACATGTTAATATTTACGAATCCCCCAGGGCAGTTGTGTCTGGGTAGAGCGTTGCTTCAGGCTTCTACTTCTGCTGTGTAAGGAATAAGTGTTCCCCTTATTTTCCCAAGGCTGGGAAGTGAATGCTTGGACCACAGTGTGAATTGGGGTGGTTGTTGGCGTGAGTCACCCCAAGCATAGGCTCAAAGAGAAGCACAGGAACGGCCCAGGGCCTGTGCAGTAGAGCTTCTCATGCTGAGGCAACTACCAATCTCCCTCAAGAAAGAAAGTGATTTTCACCGTGGTGTGCACATCACTGTCACAGTGTCATGATACATGCCCTGTGCTGTAGAGAAAACATAGTCCTCTTTGACCCAGTTTCCCTGTCCCTGACCAGTCAGTCCCTGTTTCATACCTTTTCTCACCTCTTCATTCAGACTTATTAATCTGGCACAATTAAAGACAAACAGGAAGACAAACAAACCTCCTATGCTGTGGGAAGAAGAGCCGAGTCTACAGAACGTGAAATCTCCCAGGCCCCTGCAGATCCTCGGGGCATCTACTGGCTTCCCAGGGAGTCAGGTCCACAAACCACTTCATTGATGTGGGTGTTTACAACATCACAAAAAACACTAACTCGTGATAGCTTCAAGTTGCAGAAGAGAAGATTAAGGGCAGTTATAAAGATTTTCTAATTGAGTTTTCAAACACTTATCAAAGGGAGGCATTGAGTTTTTTTCTCTTTCTCAGTCTCTGGAACATTCAGGGCAGTGCAACCCTGTGAAAAGGAAAGAGATTCATCTTGATGAGATGATGTTCAGAGAGCTAGGTCCTCAACACTAGATTGCCATCATTTTTATACTACTTGATTTTGAAGATATTCCTACTAGGAAACCTTCTGGATCTGTCACCCACAAGATGGTTAGTTCCTACTTGAATAGTGAACATCAAAGAGAGTCTCCCAGGGTCACTGAGGCAGTAATCAAGATTTGTCTCTTGAAGTAGTCAAAAGTTCACAAATTGAATCTCTTCATCTTTCTCCCATGGTTCTTTCCTTCAGAAGAACAAATGGAAGATTTTGAGTGATAACAGTTTGACTTCTTTTAGGTGTTATGTGGGCCTGCCTCAGTTGGGTTACCCAGAATGACCTCTGACATGACTCATTTGTCGCACTGTTCTAAGTCAGTCTCATGGGTTGTCCTTTTTTTCTCTCAGGTACCTCTTTCTCCTGGCTGGAGGAGGCGCCCTGGCCTGGGCTGCTATGGGTTCCTTCTCTGTACTGGTTTTCATCCCTGCTCTGTGCTCCGTGGTTCTGATCTACTCACTTGACCCACAGCAAGTCCACAGGTGGACTTTCTTCTTTCAGATGAGCTGGCAGACACTGTGTCACCTGGGTCTGCACTACACTGAGTATTATCTGCAAGAACCTTCTTCCATGAGGTAAAGCAGTTTGTTTATTTGGTTGTACTGAGCTGACCAAGGGTTTGCTTATACTATGGTGGTAGTGGAGAGAACTGGGTGTTATTGACTTTGAATCTGAATTCTTCCACATTTGAGCAGTGTGACCTTGAGCAAGTCATTTAATCTCTCTTGACCTCAAATTCTTTTTCTGAAAAAAAGTCTGCGGTGGGGGGATAACTATCTTGCAAGACTCTTATGTTACAGATAATGAATTAAACATTATTATATGACTACTAAAAACTTCCATGTGTTAACCTACAAAGCCCAGTATCTGACACTTAGCTGTAATTATCACTGTGCCTGAGAAGGGGGCTGATCCAGGAGTCCCAGGGTCCACAGATGAGGCCTGCCCGGAAGTGACTAAACACAGTTTGCTCACCTCACATGGTTTAGACACACAACCAGCAGTCTGCCCTCCCCTTTAACAGGACAAGTAAGGTATAAATCCACTGTAAACCTTTGTTGCCTTCCCTTGGCAGCTGCTGTGCAAGAATTGTACTTTCACTGAGATTCAGCTGTTCCATCTTCCCAAAAGAAGGGAAGTCACCTAATCTAGAGAAAAAAAAATCGGGCACTAATTATAGCATAGAAAAGGGTTTTCATGAGTCAGTGAGATCAGCAAGATTAGGGGGAAACATAGCTCTGCGATCTTGAGGCCTATGGTCCTGGCTCCCGCTGTTATCACAATTGGCATGGGTCCATGGTCGTTCAGAGAACTGGGGCTTTGACCTGTTGAGGTGGGTTACCTCTTTGATTCTAACCTGCCATTGATTCATTCTCTTTGCTATCCCTACTAAACCCAGAATCCTTTTCTTTCTCCTGACTATTTCACCAAAGCTTCAGGGTTTGCTTCTCTGAAGAAAAGGCAAGATGGCATGTGAGCAGGGAGTGGAGAGTACTGACTGGGATGTAGTGAATTAGGGTTTCAGTAGGAAGCCAGGACCTGATGGGGCTGGAGGAACAAGTTAAGCAGGACCTAGCTGGACAGGAGGGAGGCTGAACCAGAGCTGAGATCGAAGAAGTATTAGTTTGCTTGGGCTGTCATAACAAAGTGCCACAGACCAAGTGGCTTAAACAACAGAAATTTATTTCCTCTGGAGGCTGGAAGTCCAAGATCAAGGTGTTGGTAGATTCAGCTTCTTCTGAGGCCTCTCTCCTTGGCTTGTAGATGGCCATCTTCTCCATGCGTCCTCACATGGTCTTCCCTCTGTGTGTGTCTATGTCCTAATCTCTTCTCCTTATAAGGACACCAGTCATATTGGATTAGGTCCCACCCTAATGACCTCTTTTTAACATAATCACCTCTTTAAAGATCCTATCTCCAAATACAGTCACTTTCTGAGGTACTGGAGATTAGGACTTCAACATATGAATTTGTGGGGGGCACATTCAGTCCTTAACAGAAGGTGAGTGAAGAAGGGTTGGTGGCATTGGGAGGCCACTTTGCTTACTGGTAGGTAAGTCAAATGAGGAGGTCAGTTGTCCTTATCTCCCCAGACACACAGATAGAAACAGCAGCGATTAGGAAACAGCGCTATTTTCTCTCCACGGGAGAGCATTCCTGATTGTAGAGTACATTGCTGTATTTTCATTAATTTTCTCCACAAAAATCTTGTCAGCAGGATCTTCTCTATTCTGTGATGGTGCAGCAGGAACAGTTCAGGCAATTGGTTGAGAACACACCTCAAATTGCTAAGGACTCAGAGCACACCCTCAGCCTCTAGCTTGACGCATTGTTCCTCAGCACAAATCCTGAAGCCTGCAGAATCTTACAGTTAAGGAATTGTTCGTGTTTAAAATCTTCAACTTCCTATCGTCTCTTTGCTACTAAGTTTTTGTTTCTTTTATGGCAAATTTCTCTCAGGTCGCTGATCTTAATCTTTATAATGGGGTAAAATAAATATGGAGTGTTTTTACATTTAAAAAAAAAATCTCTTTCAGGTTCTGCATCACCCTTTCTTCCCTCATGCTCTTGACCCAGAGGGTCACATCCCTCTCGCTGGACATTTGTGAGGGAAAAGTGGAGGCAGCATCAGGAGGCATCAGGAGCAGGAGCTCTTTGTTTGAGCATCTGTGTAAGGCACTGCCCTATTTCAGCTACTTGCTCTTTTTCCCTGCTCTCCTAGGAGGCCCTCTGTGTTCTTTCCAGAGATTTCAGGCTCACGTGGAAGGGTCCAGCCCCCTGTGTCCCAGGCACTCTTTCTGGGCTCTGACCTGGAGGGGTCTGCAGATTCTGGGACTAGAGTGCCTAAAGGTGGTTATGAGGGGGGTGGTGAGTACAGGATCAGGACTGGCTGACTGCCAGCAACTCCAATGCATCTATGTCATGTGGTCCACCGCTGGGCTCTTCAAACTCACCTACTACTCCCATTGGCTCCTGGATGACTCCCTCCTCTGTGCAGCAGGCTTTGGAACTGAGTTTGGTGAGAGCCCTGGGGAGGAGGGATACATCCCTGATGCGGACATTTGGACACTGGAAACAACCCACAGGATATCCCTGTTCACGAGAAAGTGGAACCAAAGCACAGCTCAGTGGCTCCGACGCCTTGTTTTCCAGCACGGTAGGGCCTGGCCGTTGTTGCAGACATTCGCTTTCTCGGCCTGGTGGCATGGACTCCATCCAGGACAGGTGTTTGGTTTTCTTTGCTGGGCTGTGATGGTGGAAGCTGACTACCTGATTCACACCTTTGCCAATTTGTTTATCAGATCCTGGCCGATGCAGCTGCTCTATAGAGCTCTCACCTGGGCCCACACCCAGCTCATCATTGCCTACATAATGCTGGCTGTGGAGGTCAGGAGCGTCTCCTCTCTCTGGCTGCTGTGTAATTCTTACAACAGTGTCTTTCCCATGGTGTACTGTATTTTGCTTTATCTATTAGCAAAGAGAAAGTATAAATTTAACTGACATCTTTCCCCAGGCTTCATCTTATACACCCATGAAACAGAATTTAGAAAGTGACAGATGGTGCCTTGATGATGCATAAGTTTGAACTTTTCCATAATAAAATGTTTTTTTTAAGTATTGGATGAATATACCTGATATCTTGCCAGAGTAATTTGTGTGTCTACTTTAGCAAGTGATTACACTGGTATTGAGGATCCAAAAAGGAGAAAAACGTGGTTTCTTCCCTTAGTTTACGATTTCAGTGTAGAAGCAGTTTAAGTAAAGCGATCCATAAAAACATAAGGTGCTGTGAACCAAATGGCAAATGGTATATACACGGACTTCTAAAAATAGAGCGTCCGATTGGTCCACTTGATTCTGGAATGTGAGTTTAGCAAGACAGAAACAACAACAAAACAACACTTAAACCACATCATATTGGCTTGTTCCATGAACTAGAGACTCGTCCCTAGTAATCTGAAAAATTTGATCTAAAAATGAAAAGGCTGATGTTATCTCAGAGATATGTTAATAAACTGAAAATGCAGCTAAGACTTGATAACCACTTACAGAATTGTTAAATACAAAACTGATTCATGAACTATGTCACATGAAGAGCCCCATAACGAGAAGTAAGCACTGTCTTAGTACAACTTTGAGGGTCTGGTTCCTTTTTCTCAGCATATCCTAAATAACTCCCTGTTCTGTGAGGGCTTAAAATACACTGAGAGGAAGATGTCAGCACCTCCAAGTTACAGTGAAGCAATGTCATTTAACTAGCACTTTCACTGTACTACTCCATCTGCAGGCCACCTGGACTATTATGTAATTATTAGTTTTCTTCAAATCAACTTTAACTCAACTTCCTTTAAAAAACCTTCCATCTTTTTAAGAACTGGCATTGGTGAAAATTGGGTTTAATATACTAATTATATTTTATTCTAGTACTCACTAAATGAAACACATACTTGCTTAAATTAAAGATGTTTTTTTGTGTACTGCTTAAAATCATGTGCCTACCCAGATAACATCTCCTCTACCATAGGAAGCATTGTACAAATATCTAAGCTTCCTAAACCAATCATTTTCATCCTTCTCAAAATATCAGATTGTAAGCTTTTACTATTTAAAGCCTGACAAAAATGCTACTAAGTTAGAAGTCACAGATCACTTAGAAAGTTATAGGCCAATATCACTCACTACCATTAAGGAAGCAAACAGCCCGGTCTTAGCACACAGAGCATAACACAGCAAGCAGCGAGGACCTGGATGAGCAGATGGCATGAATCTGGATGGCCTTAATCATCACAGTTCTATACTTCCTCATACCACATTCAGTAGCTCAAAGGAGACAACACAGACCAATTGGGTTTCCCAGGGTTGGGGAGATTTAAGGCGGGAAACAGTAGATAGCCAAGGGGGTGTTAAATGACTCTAAGACCATTACAAACATGTTACCAAACTAATGATCCTTACTGAGATTCTAACCCAGAAAGGCAAGTGGGGTCCTGGTGGTGATGGTGTAAGTTGGGAGAAAATTTAAATAATCATTGCAGCATTATTTACTATAGAAAAAAATAGTCAGCAGTAGGAGAATAGTTAAGCAAATTATGATAGACTATTACAGGGCTATTAAAAATGGGTGCTTTTAAAAGAGGCACTTCTGGGGAGCTGGCTACATGGATGTATGTGTTCAATTTATGAAAATCCTTAGAACTCTACACTTAAGATATGTTATGTAGTATGTTATACTTCTGTATATGTATGTTATCTGTAGTATGTTATACTTCAATAATGTTTTTAAGTGAGTGGTTTTAATGATTATGGAAATGCTTAGGAGAGAATGTTCAATTTTTAAAATTAGTTGCTTAATAAAGTCTTTTGAAGTACAATTCAGTCTCCAAATTTATGGCCCTTGGCCTCTGTTGATAGGGATAATTTCTGCTCCTCTGATTGGTTAAACCAGGACATCTACTCCCATCCCTTCTATTTGCAACCTTTGGGAAGGGTTTCATAAAGCTGACAGTATAAGGAACAGTGTGATTTGAGAGACTTAACCTAAGGAGGAAAAGTCAAAGCCAGCAGGAACCATCTGTCTGCAGAAAGGGGATCCTGGGCTCTAAGAAGAGTAGCGAATAGGAAGAATGTGTCTTCTTCCAGTCCACATTTACTTTGTTAAGACTTAACTCCTGTTCCAGACTCCTGCTCCAGATGCTCCCTCAGTAATTGGCAACTTTAGTTTCCTTTCCCTTCAGTTACTGATTCTGTCACTCCCAAGACCCTGCCCATTGCCTCCCCGTTTCCCTTGGACACCTGACTGGTAGCACCTGCATATTCATCTCTCTTATTAATCTCATAGCTCTGACCTTGCTTCCAGAACTAGATTTGATGTTTTTCTTCTCTTGTTTCATCTAGAAGGGGCCCCCAGGCCTCCCCTGCTTTATGTCTGGCCCATTTATTGGCCTATACAGAATAGTATAATCATGCTTATCCTCTACAAATGCAAGGAAGGGGCCAACAGCCTGTAGACAGTAGCCCTGGACAAGTGAATTAGGTTCTGTGGGCCAAGTACTAGAGCTGAGTGACTCACTGAAACAGTCCCCAGTGGGCGAACACATCCTGACTCCTGGCATCCCACCTTGTATCAGATAATTCACTCTGAAGGGCTTGGTAGGAGCCCTTACTGTAACATTTCTTGGGGGGTTGGTAGAAGGGGACCCCATCTAGTTTTTTGAAAATATCATTGTGTGAAATTCTGGTGATGAAGAAATCCCTGAAAATGGGATAAGCCATGATAACTGAAAAGCTCAGAATCCTGGCAAAGCTTAATTAGAAAATTATTTAACAGAAAGCCACAAAATGTGACTTCCTAAGAGTACCAAGGAACTATAGATACCAATTATTTGAAATGGCATTACCTAGTAAATGTTCCATGGAAACTTAAGGTCACCTCTTGACCTATGATTTTGGATAAGCTAGGCTCACAGGGCAGCCCTGTCCCTCTAGTGCATAGGTAGCCACTCACCTGCACTGGTTTTGTTCTGTTGGCAGCTGCCATGACCAGTAGGCAGCCAGTGGGTCTAAACTGGTAACCCAGACTTAGCTATCCACCCTAATTGTTAAACTTCTCCGAAGGAGACAATCCAATCTTGGTTTTTTCCACCCATGTAGTTTTATAGAGCAGACGCAGGGAGAGTTCACTGATACACATCCAATCCTTGTTCATCAATTCCATGAGAACGTGGGAAAGAAGGCCCAGATGAGAATTTTGAAGAGTTTGTCATGGCATGGATTAAGAGACCTTTCCAACCAGCTAAGTGCCAAGAAAGCCAAGTTTTACCTCTGCCCAAAGAATGCTATGCAGCCCATGGAACTGACCTCCTGGAGGCAATGAGCTATCTCTCTGGCCGGTCACCTGAGAGGTCCTGGCAGCCAGCCTGCCAAGCCTGGGTGAAGAGAAAGGGCTCTAACAATGAGGAGCAGGTTGATGGTGAAGCAGATTCTGTGGGTGTGAAAGAGCTGGTTTGACCACTGTACTCACAGGAACACTGTAGAGGCCAACAGATTATGGACATTGCAATGACCAACTCTATAAAAGAATAAATGGCTATCATTAGTAATTATCCTGATTAAAATGCCAACTAGTAGACTGTAGTCACTTCCAATAGATTCTTTCTTTCTCTTCCTTTCTTCCTTTCTTTCTTTCTTTCTTTCTTTCTTCTTTCTTTTAGTTTTAGGTGTACAAAACAATGTAATAGTTAGACATCTATGCCCCTCACAAACTGATAAACCCCCTCTCCCAATCCACTACCCCCCTGACATCATATATAACTATTACAGTTCCACTGACTCTATTCCTTATGCTGTACTCCACATCCGGTGACCATATATATATTAAATAAGAGTTGACATTCAGTATTATTCAGCTTCAGGTGTACAGTGCAGTGGTCAGGCATCTACACCGTCCGTGAAGTGGTCTCCAGAATAAGACAAGTGTCCATCTGATACCCTACAAAATCTTTACAAATATTGATTATATTCCCCAGTCTTTCCTATCCCTGTGGCAATCTTGTGGTTACCAATCGTGCTTCCTAATCCCCTCACCTTTTCTTTCATCCCCACCCCCCTCCCATCTAGCAACCCTTAGTTTTTTCTCTATATCTCTGAGACTGTTTCTGATTAGTTTGTTCATTTATTCTATTCTTTAGATTCCACAAATAAGTGAGATCATATGGTGTTTGTCCTTCTCTGTCTGACTTATTTCACTTAGCATAATGTTCTCTAGGTCCATCTATATCATTGCAAATGGTAAGATTTCCTTCTTTTTTATAGCCAAGTAATACTCCATTGTATAAATGTACCACAGGTTCTTAATCCAGTCGTCTACCGACGGGCATTTTGGTTGTTTCCAAATCTTGGCTATTGTGAATAGTGCTGCAATAAACATAGGGGTGCATACATTTTTTCGAATTAGCGTTTTAGATTTCTCTGGACAGATACCTGAGAGTGGAATTGCTGGTTTGTAAGGTAGTTCCATTTCCAGTTTTTTGAGATACCTCCATACTGATTTCCATAATGGCTACACCAATCTGCAGTCCCACCAACAGTGCACCAGAGTTCCCTTTTCTCCACATCCTTGCCAGCACTTGTTTGTTGATTTATTGATGATAGCCATTCTGACCAGAGTGAGGTGGTATCTCATTGTGGTTTTTATTTGCATTTCTCTAATAATTAGCAAGGTTGAGCATTTTTTCATGTCTGTTGACCATCTGTATGTCCTCTTTAGAAAAATGTCTCATGATGTCCTCTGCCCATTTTTTAAGTGGGTTGTTGGTTTTTTTGGTGTTGAGTTGAATGATTTTTTAAAATATATTTTGGATTTTAACCCCTTATCAGATGTATCATTAACAAATATCTTCTCCCATTCAGTGGGATGCCTTTTTGTTTTATTGATGGTTTCCTTTGCTGTGAAAAAACTTTTTAGTTTAATGTAATCCCATGTTTATTTTTTTCTCTTACTTCTCTTGCCCGAGGGGATATATCAGTAAAAATATTACTCAGAGTAATGTCTGCAAATTTACTTCCTATATTTTCTTCTAGGAGTTTTATGGTTTCAGATCTTATATTTAAGTCTTTAATCCATTTTGAATTTATTCTCGTATATGCATAAGGAGGTGGTCCAGTTTCATTATTTTACATGTGTCTGTCCAGATTTCCCAGCATCATTTATTAAATAGACTGTCTTTACCCCACTGCAAATTCTTGCTTCCCTTGTCGTAGATTAAATGACCATATAGGTATGGATTTATTTTTGGACTCTCTATTCCAACAGATTCTTTACATGTTTGTAATATAGCAGATGGTGCAGGAAATTTGGTTTCTTATCATCTCGGGGTTCAGCACTGAGAGTGAAGGGGGTTATACTTTATTTGACCTGTCTCAACTGCGGGAGACCAGCTCCCGCAGGTCCAGGGGTTCCCTCAAGTGGATGCGGAGTAGGCAAGCGAGGAAAGAACGCTCTGAGACACAGGAGCGCTTTCAAGAATTAATGTCTCACTTTATTTTTACAGCTTGTCCTTTTTAGGTAATATTTACGTCATTGAGCTGTTTTTCCCAAAGTTGGTTTTCCAAGTTTAAACCTTTACCCATTAGGAAATTGTTTTCTACACAGTTTCAATGTTCCTTCCTTCCCAGGGTCTATTTTCCTTAGAAGTTTGTTTTTCTCAGAATATTACTTCCTCGCGATGTTTCTATTACAACCGGATCTATTCTTCACTAATGACTAACTTATCCTAACTATGTTTCAATTTCTTCCATAATAGCCAGAGCTGAGGTCCTGCCTTGGCACTTACAGGATGTTTACTACTTAGCAACTGTTTCAAACACTACTGGCTAAACAGGATCTTAAGAATTATAAGGTGCATAACTTGTCTATCACTAAGAATCTATCGCAAGAAACTAACAGTAAAACAGAATTATTGTAATATGTCTAAAACTCACTTATTTTTTTTTTGGTTAAAGTAAATAAAACAATCAATATAAGAAGGGGTGTCAGATCTTTATCCTACTGGGGGCATCCAAAGGGGAATTTAAATTTTCCAAAACATAAAGCAGTATCTGTTTCTCAGCCAGAGCTTCAGGATTTGTCACAATAGCAGTGTGATAGGCCATGTCAGACACTGAGGTGCAGCCGGCTCCCAACACTCAACTGCACCTATTCCCAAAGCATTTAAAAAAAAAAGTCTAATAAAGCGGATATTATTACTACATTAGCATTTGATGCCTAATCACTGCTGATTCTGATGTTAACGCGACCCCCTGGTGGGGAAGTAGCTAGAGTACCTCCCTAGGAGCAGAGGGTCTGGTTTAGTCCCAGTGCTTGCACTAACCACCTGTGTGATCCCAGCCATTCCCTCTCCAGGCTCAAGTTTCCTAGTGTGCCAAAACAAAAGGTGGATAAAATATCCTTTACTTTTAAGCTTGAAGGCATTATGGCTGTGTAAGTGCTTTGTCAATTTTTCAACATAAGAAAAAGTGAAGCAGCTTTCTCCCAACCTGCCTCTATACATCCAGCAAAAATTTTGCAGCAAGAAATAAAATCTGCATGTCTAAGCTTCTTTATAAACAACTGGCAAATATTTCTTCCACTTATTTCCCACCTTATAAAATGAACAAAATGATAGTTTTGTGGCTTGTTAAAAAACAGAGAAAACATTATTGTCTTCATACTAAGAAAACACTATGAATTTCTTTGACTCTCCCTGTCTTGAATAATAGTTTTAACTTCTCAGTCTATATATGGCAGCTGATAACTGTCAAATATTTGTAATAATCTGCTTTGGGCCTCATG